GCGGGCTGCCACAACCCCCACACCAGCCCCGCTGCCCAAGCTGCCCGCAAGGACTGGTGCGTCTGCGAGAGGCGGTGGGGAAGGGCTGGGGGAGATGGGGAGCTACTCCAGCCCAGGGTTGGGGTCACAGGGCTGGTGATCCCCTGTGCTGTCCCCAGCATGTCACCGCTGGGCTGACCGCGACTTCCCCCGTGGCAGGTACAGCGCCGACTCCAGGGTCGTGCACTTCGTGAAGGCCAAGAGTGTTGGGCTGGGGCTTTTTTTTTTTAACGCCGTGCGCATCTCCGTGTCGAGCGTGCAGGAGGGGAGCCCATCCGACAGCCAGGACATCCGGGAAGGGGACCAGATCCTGCAGGTACCCGGGGCTGGGAATGGCTCCAAATGCTTCTGCACCCAGACTGGTCCCATCTCTCTTGGGTCTGTTACCCCCCCGGGGCTTGGATTTCTCCTGCTGGGTATCATTTTGGGTCAGTGCTGGTGCCCATGGCCTGTACCCACTGGGCTGGCTCTGCGGGCAGTGCCCGAGGGGACGGTCCTGTTGCCGGCACCGTGCTAACACCCAACAGGGGCCAGGCACCACCTCAGCTGGCCCAGAGGCCCTCCCCAGCATTACTGGGGGTTGTGGCAGGCATTTGGGTGACAGGGACCAGCTACCTCTCCCACCCTGCCCTGGGCACCGCTGTCCCTGGGACCCCCACTGGCACCCGTGCCCTCTGTCCCACCAGCACGGCCGCGTCTAAGCGCTTTTCTGCGGCAGGTGGACAACACCAGTTTTCAGAACCTGACCCGTGAGGAGGCCGTGGAGTATCTCATGAGGCTCCCACCAGGCGAGGACATCACGCTGTGGACCCAGAGCAAGCAGGACAGTGAGTGATGACCGGACTCACCCTGGGCTTGTGCCTCTCCATCCTCTGTCTCTTCTGAGCAAGCATCAGAGCTGCTGGACTTGCCACGGCCCTTTCTGCCCCAGCAGGGTGGTCCTCCTTCCCCACACCCGCCTCCTCCTCCTCCAGAGAGGTGATGGGAGGGGACCAGACCATCCCAGCCCTGTTTGTGCCTCAGCATCCTGGAGCACAGGGGCTTTCTAGCACCGTGGCTCAGCCTGGAGAGGCTGATGTGTGCTGGGGGGTCAGGTCCTGCTGTTCCTGATATGCCTGAGAGAGCCATGGGAGGAGAAGGTGTCCCCAATGCCCTCCTTAGCAGCAAGGCCGACTGTAGAGGCTCCTGGTCAGCCTGGCTTCCAGCTTCCCAAATCCCTCCAGAACCTTCTTCTCCAGCATCTTCCTTCTCGGCCACCTCTTCCCCTGATGGTCCCTCTCACCCTGGGTTCCAGTTTACAGGAAGATGATCTCGTCCAACGTGGGCGACTCATTCTACATCCGGACACACTTTGACTTTGAGAAGGACACACCATCGGGGCTCAGCTTCGTCCGTGGGGACGTCTTCCATGTGCTGGACACCATGTACCAGGGCAGGCTGGGGAGCTGGCTGGCTGTGCGCATGAGCAGGGACCTGCAGGAGCAGGACAAGGGCATCATCCCCAACCGGAGCAGGTAGGGATGGAGCCAGGAACGGCCCCAAGATGAGCAGAGCTGGGGGGTGGCTCCCCAGTGAGATGGGGACATGGATGGTGGGCCCAGTAAGAGGCAGGGCAAGAGCTGGTGGAGCAGCGGTGGGAAGCGTGAGCCAGTGAAATCCTTTCTCAGGGGTGATGGACTTTTTAGCAAGGCCTGTTGTGACAGGACAAGGAATAATGGATTTAAACTAAAGAAGAATAGATTTAGACTAGACATAAGGAAGAAACGTTTTACAGTGAGGGCGGTGAAGCACTGGCAGAGGTTGCCCAGGGAGGCAGTGGAGGCCCCATCCCTGGAAACATTCCAGGTCAGGTTGGATGGGGCTCTGAGCACCCTGATCTGGTTAAAGCTGTCCCTGCTCATGGCAGGGAGGTTGGGCTAGATGACCTCTAAAGGTCCCTTCCAACCCAAAGCATTCTGTGATTCTATTCTATGATTCTATGGGGCAGTTGATGCTCTCGTTGTCCAAGGTCCCAGAGGGAAGAGGCTACCACAGCCTCATCTGGCCCTGCCACTGAGCGGGGATGCCAGCTTCTCCTGCCCCACTCCTCGGAGCTGAGAGAGACAAAGTGGGGGGTAAATCCCAAGGGTCCAGGTCCTGAGCCCTTTCCCCTCCCAGGGCCGAGCAGATTGCCAGCCTGGAGTCGGTGCTGAAAGCCACGTCTGGTGCCAACCCCTCTGGGGCACGGGCTGAGTTTTGGAAGCTGCGGGGCCTGCGGGGAGCCAAGAAGATGCTGCGGAAGAGCCGGGAGGACCTGTCCGCCCTCACAAAGCAGGGCCGCTACCCGCCGTATGAGAGGGTGGTCCTGAAGGAAGGTGGGCACCAGGGCTGCGTCCCCACCACCCAGCCCCACCCAGGGGATGTCAGCCCCGGGGCTGCCCTGCTGCAGGTGCTAGTGGGCTCCGCTCTCCTGGGAGGAGCGGGACGAGTCCCAGGCCCACGGGCACGTCGAGGAGCAGGGCTGGATGCCTGGGTGCTGTGAGCTCTGCCCTCACCCCAGCCTCCCTGAGCCAGTCTGTCCTCTCCCCACAGCCAGCTTCAGGCGGCCGGTGGTGATCCTGGGCCCCATTGCAGACATTGCCATGCAGAAGCTGAGCACGGAGCTGCCCGAGCTGTTTGAGATTGCCCGTAAGTGCTCCCCATGCCCAGGGGGGAAATTGTATCCAGCAGCTGGATCCTCAGTGTCCAGAACCTGTGGGAGCTCTGCCTGTGGCTCTGTCCTGATCCTGCCTCATTGCCCCGTCCCCATGACACCCCAACACCTTCCTGGAGTCGTTCACCCTGACCCCACACATCGATACCAGCCAGGCCCCAGACATCCCCCCTGCTCGAGGGACAGAGCCCCAGGGCTGGGCACAGCCAGACCCAGCCTGGGGCTGCTGGAGATGCCACGTCTCCCCCAGCCCCTCTCAATGTCTCTGTGTCCCGCAGCAAGCGTGCCCCGAGACGGAACATCGTCCAAGGTCATCAAGTTGGACGCAGTGCGGCAGATCGCAGAGAAGGTGGGAGACCTTTCCCATGTTGTTGCAGCCAGCTGGGCCAGGGCCTGGAGGGGAGCCCACAGCCTCCGTCCCTGTCCCCAAGCGGGGCTGATGGCCGTGCTCTGCCCCAGGACAAGCATGCCTTGTTGGACATCACACCCTCGGCTGTGGAGTGCCTCAACTACATGCAGTACTACCCGGTGGTGGTGTTTTGCGAGCCTGAGAGCCGGCAGGGCATCAAGGCCATGCGCCAGTGGCTGGCGCCCGACTCCAGGAAGAGCTCCCGGCGCCTCTATGCCCAGGCCAGCAAGATGAAGAAGTACTGCAGCCAACTCTTCACTGCCACCGTCAGCCTCAGCAGCAACACCTGGTATGAGGCGATCAAGGACATCATCAGGACGCAGCAGAGCCAGCCCATTTGGACGGCGGTGGAGCAGGTACAGGGCATGGGGTCCCTGTGGCGAGGCTCAGTCTGCTGGGGCTGCAGGCAGACAGGTGACAGGGCCACGCACCCGTCCCCACACCTGGAGTCCCAGTTCTCTGTCATCCCCACCCCACAGGCAGATGTGGCACTGGAGGACAGTCTG